GTATATATATTTTTTTAATTTTAATTTTTTTTTGTACTTTTTTATTTATATAATTTTGTTTAAAATTATATTATTTCAATTTTACAAAAAACAAACTTAATTTATTTTTTAAGTATTTAATTTTTACTAAAATATAATCGTAAAAATTATCGTATATAATTTATAATTTTTTTAAAAAAAAATTTACCAAAAATATATTTGATGAATTCAAATTCGTGAAAACTCTCTTTTTATCTGGTTAATCATTTATTTTTGTTTGATCATTCATATATCTGTATTTTTTTATATATATTTTTCAACTGAATTTTTTATTTTATCAAACAAGGGTAATTCTCATTCTCTACTCAATTCTATTTTTCTCTAATTTTATTTTCTACTCTCATTTCTCATTCTCTCAACAATTCAATTCTCTGTACCAAAGGGATATTGTTAGATTGAAAAAAAATAAAAAATAAAAAAAAAATATTCAATTGATATCTCATTGTTAATATTAATCTCATTGTCCGTACTTATATAAAAAGTTTTAATGAAAATAACTTATACTTTACAATACAACAACTATAGGAAAATATCAATTTTGTAACGATATTTTTTTGTTGCTAAATTAATTTTTTTCGTTACTAATGATATTAGAGACGAAATTAGAGATGAAATTACGTTAGCTACGTGAACTTTAGAAACGGAATTCCGTTACAAATATATTATTTTTTTTAGTAGAAAAGAAAAGAAAATAAATAAATAAAAATGATTCGAATGAAACAAACTTATTATTTATTTATTTTCTCACTTTTTATTTATTTATTTTCTAGCCCTGTATTATTTAATAAGTACTATTTTCTCACTTTTCTAGCCCTGTATTATTTATTGATTTTTCTCTAAAGACCATCAACCCAGTTATTATGTTTTATTAAAAATATTAAATTAAGTACTTATTTATATTACGTCGATACTGTTTTAAATTAAAATTTTATTTTTCTAAATTCTAATCTAAAAATTCAAACTTTAAAGGAATATAAATTTAAAAGTATTTAACAGGTATTAAATTTAGAGAATATATATATATATATGTGTTAAAATAGGGCCAAGTGAGAACATAATAATAATAATAATAATAATAGAGAGGGCCCATGGAGTCAATTATGAAGATCTATTAATAATTAGAGGCCCAATTGTGAAATTAAAGTTCAGTAAGCTTTATTGACAAAATAAATACTACTCATCCGTCCCATTTTAGAATGAGCATAGAATTTAAAAAATATTGATATTATATTGGTAGTCGGTAAAATGTATAGATAAAAGACTTTTTTGCCTTTATGAGTGTATTAGTGCAAAAAGTAGTGACAATTGTGTAATAAAAATGAAAAAGTAGGGGTAGTTTTATAGTGATATAGTTATTTATGGAAAAAAGACTATTGTTTTGACACGGACAAAAATGATAAACAAGATTATTGTATTAAGACGAAAGTATTATCGCATATTCACAACGTATAGATTACAATTTTATTTTAAGATTATAAATTATTTACTTCAATACTTGGTGCGTTTCTCCATGAATTTCTTTTTAAATTTTACTATATATATGTCTATTTAGTGTTTTATTTTTGGTGATTTTTTTTAATATGGGAATGGAGAATTATGTTCATAATATAAAAAAAAAAATAATATTTGTATTACATTAATGTGTGTATATATTATATTCTTTTTATTAATATTCATAAAAAAAAATTGAGATATTTACGAAATAAAGAGTTTGTTCCTCCACCATTTTATCTTGACATAAAGTATTTTATTTGAGAAATAAAGAGTTTGTTTGTCAATCATTTTATATAATAATGTATAATAAAATGTTTTATAATTTTTTTTTAAACGCAGAGTTTAAATAATAAAATTTGAAAGTTTGATGAAAAAAAACATACCCTTGATTAATTTCTAGTATTGCACATATTACATATTTTAGATTATAATTTTTGTGATATTTAAGAAATAAATTTTTTTAACATAATAACATAAAAGATATATATATATATATATATGTGATATGGCTAAAACTTTGTTAATGAAAGTAATAATAAAAAACAATAATATAAAAGCTTCGTATCTCACAAAATATCATCTCAAATACTGTCAAAATTAAAATTTAAATAATAATAATAATAATTCTTATAAAAATGTTGATATATGTACATATAGAACTATGACTTAGGATTATGAATATATTGTTGGTATACACTATGTATAATTTTCATAATAGATACTTAATCTTTATCGATAAATTAAATAATACTTCATTCAAACCTTTTTTTTTTCTTTCGATACGACACAATACATCGAACATATGCATATTAAACGATGAGTTGCAATATATATAATAGATTTGTTCATTAAACCTATTTTTGGTAGTACGATTTCTCATAAGTATTATAAAAATATAATTATTTTCCAATATAATTAATTATTTGTTAATATAATTTTAAAAATTTATACAAACCATGCATCGTACGAATTTACATGCTAGTATATATATTTATAATAACACAATATATAATATATACTCTATTCATCCATAGAAAATCAATAATTCAACACAAAATATTATATTTTAATATTAGTGACACTATTGTCCGTAACTAACATAAAAAAATATAAATAAACACATCTAAAACTTCATCAAACTCATTAATTAAAACTATTTGTTAAATTTCTTCAATACATAATACTATATCACATTGTTCTTCCAACATCATTTTTCAATTGCGATTTCCTAAAAATAACAATAATAAATATTTTATACAAGAGACAAAAAAACAAATTCAAATACTCATTATAAAAAATTAAAAAATCATTACATAAAGTCATTTATCTAACTCAGTATATTTCATATTTTTAACACAATTATCCATACTACACATCAAAAATCATTTTATCTAAAAACGCCGAATGAACAAAACATGTATGTTTATACTCTCCTTCATTATATTTTCGCCAAATTAATCAAGGATCTTTTTTGTTTCGAGATAAAGCATAGAATAAAGTAAAATAAAAGAAAGAAGATAGTACTTCCTCCTCCGTTTCATAAGTAAATATCCATTTGTTTTTTGTACGTAATTTTAGAAATATTAGTATTATATTGGGATATAGTATAAATAAAATAAAAATGACTAAAATAACTTTATTAGTATGTGTGATATAAAGATAATGACATTTGTGTAATATATTGTAAGTTGTAAGGGTATTTGTAATGTTAAGTAGATAATACAGTTGTTAAAAAAGAAAATGGATACTTTGTTATAGGGCAGACTAAAATGAAAAAATGACTACTATGTTATGGGACTGACGGAGTAAGAACGAATAGCCAAGACTCCATTTTCATACACAATTTTTCTTTTTTAAGATTTGACATTATCTATTTATATATATATATATATATATATATTAAATATCACATTAAATACTTATTACTCTCATAAAATATAGTATAAAATACTCAACTTTTTATTAACTCAAAAAAATTCTAAAAGTCGAGACGAACAAAAAATAATAATAATAATAATAATAAAAGGGTATAACACATATTTATGTGTGTGGGTTTCGAATACTTGTTTAAAAAAAAGTGATCGCAAAAATAAAATCCATAAAAAGGATAATATTTTTCATTTTTATTCGTTTAAAAAAAAAGATACTATTTTTTAATTTTAGTAATTGTACTACCTAACTAACATAATAAATATCCTTACAACTTCCAATATATTACACAAATATCATTATTTTTTTATCGTACAATCTAATAAGGGCATTTTTACCTTTTCCGCTATAAACTAATATAATATCAATATTAAAAAATTTACGTGCAAAAAATAAATTTACTCTTTTTGCGATAATAAATTAAAAGCTCATCTTTCAAAAACCCTAAATACAAAAATATTCATATGGATGATTGCATTACCTTACAACACTAATAAAATAATTACCAACACAATCAAACAACAAAACAAGAACAAGCCTAACAAAGGAATCAATCTAATTATATTACATTCAAAATTACAGCTCATTGAAAACCTAATTAAATTATTACAACCACACTGTCTTCTCTATATTTTATACACATTCTTGTCTCAAACCACACACACACACATATATATATATATATATTCCTCATTTAACTTTTGTTTTTATATATCTTCAACTAATTAATTTCTCAATTTGGCTGCATTTTAAAATTAATTGGAAGTAGGGTGTTGATTTGAATTTTTTCTTAAATAGTATTCCCTCCGTCCCACTTCTCATGTCTCCCTTTTCATTTTCGTCTATCCCATTTATTTTGTACACTTTTTATTTTAAAAAATTTAATTTATATTTTTAAAAATTTTAGTAATACTAATCGGTTATCTTAATCTTAATCTATAATTATTTTTATTATACGATAATTATTTTCACTAATATATTTTAAATTATTTACTAATTATACACCTTTTAAATTTTCGTATCTACAATAAAGCGGACAAAATATCCGGACGGAGGGAGTAGTATTTTTATATACTTCCTCCATCCACTTAATAAATTTACTTTTACTTTTGCGTAATTATACTTAATATTATAAATATCTTTATATTTATATAAACGTCCTTTTATTAGTATTATAAGAAATTAATAGAAATATTTTTTTTTATAATTTTTTGATTTGTAGTATATATTTTGATATAATAATTAATATTCAAATATTAGCACCCAAATAAAACAAATATAAACTTTCAAAGTAGATGAAGAGAGTAATATTTTATAAGAAGATAAGTATATTTTTATTGAAAACTGTACAAAATAAATTATATTGAGTCTAGTTTGAAATTACAAAGAAAATTATTTTCAAGATTTCTTAAGATTCTAAAATTAAGAGAAGCATTGAACAAATTGCAATTAAAAATAAAAATAAAAATAAGAAAAAAAAAAAAAAAAAAAAAGAGTAGGCATATATCAAATTAAAATTATTCCTAATTAAACTCAGCAGAAGTTAATTTCACATCACAAAACCAAAGTGTTCTTTCTTTTTAATCACAATCAGAGAAAATAAAAATTAAAATAAGAACAAGAATTAAAAACTCACAATACCCTAAAGTTAATTACAACAGAAAAAAGTTTTTTTTTTTTTTTTTCTTTTGAAGAAGATGCAATAATCTGACCTTGATTAGGGCTAATCAGTACGGCGGCCGTCCGCCGCCGCCGCCGCCACCGGAGTTCCCCGCCGCCCATGCTCCGCCGCCGCCTTCCATTGGGATATGACCGTTAGGCATATTTAACGGTAAGTTGAAAAATGGAAGCCCTAAAGATGGATCGGGAAATTGCCCTCCCTCCGCTCCTTCGGCGTCGCCGCCGCCGCCAGGTGGCTGCGCCGGCGGCGGCTGCATCTGGAGGCCGCCGTCGTCGTCGTCGAGCGGCAGCCGCTCGTAGGCGACGTTGGTGAACGACGAGGCGATGATTATCACCGGACCGGAGGCGATTAGGGCTCCGATGACATTCCCGCCGACGACCTGACCCTGGCCGCCGGCGAGGTAGACGGTGAGGCTGGTGGCGCCCGGCGGAGCTGGCGGGGGGAGGAAGGAGCCGGAGAGGGACAGGATCTCGAACCGGCCGTGGAGGGCGACGACGCTCCCCGCCGCCGACGGCTGTCGGAGATTAACGTTGTTGACGGTGCCGGCGCCGGAGAGGATGCAAATCCCCCGCTGCCGCCGCCGCGCGTACGTCGCCACCGCCTCGAACACGTCGGAGCCGCCGCTGACCTCCAGGATGTGGGCCCGGAGCGTGTTGGCACTCTCGCGCGTGATGATCACCGGCGGCTTCGGCTTGTTCTTCGACCCCGGCGGCCGGCCGCGAGGCCGCCGCCCCGACCCATCGCCGCCGCCGGGGCTGTTGCCGGAATTTATCAGGTCGAGGCCGTGGTGCGAGTTCTCCGCGTTATCTCCGCCGCCGCCGCCGGAGAATTGGTTCCTGTTGGATTCGTCCTCCGCCGCCTCCGGCAGCCTCTGGCGGTGGAGCTCCGGCCGGTGGAGCTGCGAAACGAAGTGGGATGCCGAACCTAAGTCCAAACCTGCCATGGATGGAGCTGCTAGAGCTACAGCACAAAACAGAAAAGGGAATTGCCAAAAAAAAAATTAAATTAAATTAAATTAAATAAATTTTATAATTGAATCGTAACAAAGATTAAAGAATAGAGAAACTTAAATTAAATCAATTCAGAGTATATAATTTTATTTTTTTTATGAATAAATTAAATTATTAGATTGAAGCACAAACCCTAGAGGGAATAGAAAAACAATGGAATCCAGAGAGAGAGAGAGAGAGAGATAGAGAGAGAAACAGTTGTCTGAAAATTTAAAGTAAACCATACAAAGTCGTTTATATAATATAATAAATTTGTGAGAGCATAATTAAAGGAAATTTAATTTAATTTTATGTATTTATAATATATGTGATTAGTTTAATGTAGTATATGGAATGGTTCGAAGTACTTATAAGTAATAAATAATTACTTTTTTTTTTTTGTCTAACATAATTTAAAATAAATATAATTAGTAGATAATTAAAAAAATATTAGTTAAAATAATTATTTTATAATATAAAATAATATGATGAACAGAAACGACAACATGATAAGTGGGACAAAATGAGTATTATTTTAGAGTAATTATTAAGAATATTTAAATTCAGTACAATATTGATCGTGTTGAATAATGTAAATAACTAACAACATATAATATAATATCGTACAACAACGGTTGATTATAGCACATATCATACTTACTTATAACAAATCTATGAGTATATATATAAAATAAAATAATATAACAAATCTATGAGTATATATAGAAAATAAAATAATTTTATTTTACACAACATGTGTTGCGCATCTGATTTATTTGTGCTATAGGTAGAGCGGTTAACGATCCGAGCCAAGCCGAGCCAAATTTTAAGTGTTCGTTAATGTTCGGGAACAAGGCTCGTGTTCGTTTGTTAAACTTTCGAGTTCGTTCGTAGTGTTCGAACTCGGCTCGTTAAGAATTTTTGTTGTTTGAGCTCGTGTTCGTGTTCGGCTCGATTAAGCTCGTTCGAGCTTGTTTGTCTTATTTTTTTAAAATTTATATATAAATTATAAAGAAAATTTAAAATTATTTTATTTATATATTTTAAATTAATATTTTATTTATTTATAAATTATAATTTTATATGTATATATAATATTTATAATAAATATATTATTAAACTGAATGTTCGCGAACAAAGCTCGGGCTCGTTCGTTAACTAAACGAGTCTGTTTATATTGTTCGGCTCGGCTCGTTAACGTTCGCGAACGAGCTTTAACCGAGCCGAGTTCATGAACGGCTCGGTTGATTTAACATCTCTAGCTATAGGAATGTATTATATGCGCTTACGGTGGTGATTCCTCCAAATTAGCACAATAACCATTATCGTATTTTTCGATTTTCATTCAATGAAAATGATATTCTTGCAAATATTTTATGGTAACTTATGATTAGGATCTATTTCCTTTTCTCAAACTACAATATAATCTTTTTTTAAAATATATATATATATATATATACTAAGTAATGAACTTTTTAAATGAATTTTTACTTGTTGGTTACATGTTAAAAATGTACTTAGAAAATTAAAATTAAATTTTTTTTAGACTAATGATAGAATTTTAACTAAATATAAAATGAATTACGTAATCATTTTCAATACACTCTTGACATATATTTGTAGACTTCATCACACTTAGCACAATCAATGCTGGGAATTCTTAAAATTTATTTTAGTTTTTTTTTTTTTTTTTTTATATTATAGTTTAAAATTGATTTGAAATGAAATATTAATTTAAATTTTTACTTAAAAATTTTTTGATTTAATATTTTATAAAAAAAATAATAATGTATTTTTATTAAAAATGGTACAGATCGTAAATAATATTAATTTTAATTTTAAATGATAAAGAAATAAAACCTAATTGTACTTAAATTTTATATCACAATCAAATAAAAGAAATTATTAGAATTTGTATGTTGTAACTATATGTTCTTGTCTTTTTTCTTTTTCTTTTTTTTTTTTTTCTTTTTCAATAGTTCGAAAATGCATCGATTAGGTAGTAACCCAATAATTTTACTTTCAAATTGTTATCTAGAAACACAACTTTAATTTGATGTATCAATTGGACGAAAAATATATGCAATTTCTAAACTCGGTAGCAAGTACTATTTCCTTATAAATTTAAATTACATGAGACTTTCTTGTGTTTTCGAAATATTGTACAATTTTTTTTTATTTTTAGAAAATTTCGTACATTATTGTTTTTTTTTTTTTAAAAAAAATATATATAAGAACGTTATATAATTTTCAAAAAATTTTGTACAATATTTTTTAAAATACAAATGAGCTTTATACAACTTCTAAATCACGTGGAGTGCGATGCTGATTTTCAAACCACCCCTAACTTATAAGCAATTTTGTCGAAATTTAATTAAATTAGCGTTTTTGTTATTTTTAATTTTTATTTGTTATAATTTATTTTTTATATATATTTTTTTGTCTTCTAAAAACAATACATTAAACTTACAAGACATGATCGAGTTGATGTGGTGTTTGATTGGAGTAAAATTAGATCACCTATTTGAATTTTAAATATCTTAGATCTATTAATATATATTAAAGGTAAACTGTTTTTTTAGTCTTATAACTGACCCCTTATCATTTTAGTTTCGTAAGTGGAGCCTGTCGCAAACTAGTCCCATAAGTGAAAAATTTTCACTGTTTTAGTCCTCCGGCACCGGAGACGCCCGCATGGCTCGGCGGAAGTGACGTGTCCGCCAGGTGTCCTGTCAGGTGTCTCGCCAGGTCAGCGACACCTGGCGGACGGGACACGTGGATTTTTTATTTCATTTTTTTAAAACTTATTTTTAATTTTATTTGCATTTTTTTATTTTTTTTATTTGGTCTAATTAAAAAAAAATTTAAAAAAATAAATAAATCCACGTGTCCGCCAGGCGTCGCTGACCTGGCGGGACACCTGGCGGACACGTCACCTCCGGCGAGCCACGCGGGCGTCTCCGGCGCCGGAGGACTAAAACAGCGAAAAATTTTTAGTTATGGGACTAATTTGCGACAAGCTCCACTTACGGGACTAAAATGATAAGGGGTCCAGTTACGGTATTAAAAAAACTAGTTTACCATTTTTTCTAAGACATTACATTAAACATTGTTTAAATTTAAAACTTAAATGAAATCCAAACTCAAAGAATTAAACACACTCTACTCTAATTTTTTATTAAAATATAATAACTGTATAAGTTATATAAAATTAAGTACTTCATCCGTCATGCAAAAGTGAATAATAGCGGATTTTTTTTTAGTAAAAAAAATACAAAAATATAATAATTTTTTACTTAAAAAAGAAATGAAAATATTTTTCAATGACAACTCAAAAAGAAAAATGAGTATAGATTTGAACGACGGATGGAGTAATTAAGAAGCTATAGGGTTGACTGATAATTGGAATAATATTTCCACTTTTGTAAAGCATCGTTAATTAATTTTATTTATTCATTAGTACGAATGATCACTTCTTTATATATATATATATATATATTAAGAAATTATTAAATAAAAAATTAGTTAGCGTAATAGTTAAAATTCCAGTTCGATTGTAATTTAATATAATTATGGTGAAAGATTGTTGTCACAAAATTAAATATTTGATTTAATCTTAACTAATTATATAAAAAATTAAACAGGAGCTAAAAACAATAATATACAATTCCACGAATATTTAATTAATTTAGGTGGATAAAGGTTGGAATTTTTAAATTATTATCACTTGGAAACCTCAATGATGTGATTAAGTATAAAAAGTTTCAATATTTTTTTTAATTTATTATTTTATTTTTACATAGTGTTCGATGATCTACAATGTACTGTTTGTGATTATATATTAATAAAGTTGACACAGAAAATAAAATAAAATATTATTAGTTATGTCACCCATTTCAAGTACTAATTAATTTGAAAAAAATAAAATTGTTCACTTATCTCAATATATATCTATTATTTAATTTAGTTTACTGTTCTGTAATATGAAATTAATATATATATATATATGTTAATTTAAATTATTTGATTGATTGTTTTAAATGATATCTATGATATGAGTAGTTTAATTGCAGCAATTGAAATGAAATAATAAATTATAAATTGTGTGTTTTTTTTTTATATTTTAGAAATAGATAGATTTTTATTTTTAGTTAATATGAACCATGCAAATACTTTTGAGATTATAAAAGTGTTCTTTTTAGATGAATTCATAGCTTTAATTTTTGTTTAAATTATATTTTAATATAATATTATTTTTTTTTAAAAAATATTATATTTTCATTAAAAATTATGCAAAATAAATAATATTTATTTGAAATCATAAAAAAATAAACAACGAGTGTGTGTTCGTTGGAGTGAGTTTATTTTATATTTTATGTTTCAATAGTTGTTTAATACTCTTTCCGTTCTAAACAAGATGGAACATTTTCTTTGGACACAAGTTTTTAGATGAACAATATTAAGTACGATAATTTATAAATTAAGTGATGTGATGGAGAAAGAAATTTATATTTTATTTTTTTTGTTGGGATGATGTGATGGAATAAAATTTAAAATAGATATTAAATATAATTAATTATTTTATATTTAAAAAATATTGCAACCTGTTTGAAACATATCAAAAAAAATATATATTGCAAAATATTTGGTATAATTATGTTTAATATATATATATAATATGGTAGTTTGAGCCAACCACTAAATCAAATTTGAACATACACTTTAGATGATTTTATTTTATTTCTATCATTATAGTTATATCCTTATATATATATATATATATATATATATGATATGCACCATTAATTATTTAACTAAGATGCCAAAGTTTTCAATACTTAAAAATATTTAAAATATCAATAATATTCATATAAAAAATATAATAATAATATTATAATTTATTATTAATAATTTATTAATTTATACTATCTAAAATATCATGTTCTTAATAGAAGGGGTCATCTGACGGGACGAATGAAATAATATATATGTATATATGGCCGCGAATACAGTGCTGAATATTATATTCAACATTGTGTTGAACAGTACATCGTGTGATAACGGATAACACACGATATTACTATAAATAATACACAATATGCGTTGATATAGTATAAATACAACACATGACTTAATAGCATATCGTATAGTCTCAAACACAACGCATACAGTAATTGATTTTAGCATAGGACATACTCTTATATAACACACATTTTAATTATAAACAAACAACCTATAATTTTATTA